CCTCCCAGCGTTATGCACACGAAAGTCACCACTTGTATGCGCGCACCTGCTGCTCGAAAGCGATGATAGGCACTGGTCCATGCGAATTTCGAAGCACTTGAAGGTGCGGGTCTGCAATGCTTGTACGTGTCCGATCATACCACATGACCTGATCTGTTGAAGGGTCGGATGGACGTCCTAGTCGTCCTTCTCATGGCAAAGAAGAACTTGACGCCTCCAAGACATGAGCCTTGAATCTGGGTACAGCCGACAAAGCACGTGACCAGCTGCAACGACCGCAATTGACGGACGCACAAACGCACGCTACCGCGGTTGCTGTTCTGGATATATGCGCGAACGGCACAAGCACGCTGTTGTACCAAGTGATCACCAATCTGAATGTTCGCCGTTCTGCAAGCCTCGATTCCACACGTCATTTGACCCCCATCATAGAGCTGGCGCAACGCTTTGCCAGAAGCTCGAACGTAGCGCTCGAAGGCTTCAGTGCTCTACCCACAGGTCAGCCGGCTTGTATCCCCACGAGTCATAGCGAGGCATTTAGACAACGGAAGCGCGAAGGGCCAACGTTGCGTCTCTCTCTCTGCCTTTGCTACTGTGACGACTTCTCCAACTGATGGGCAGACCTGCATCTGACCATCTCACTGCGCAACGTACAGCAGCTGTCATCTACTGGCTCTCGACGTCATGGCGGAATTCATCGCGGCGGATTTCGCTTCAAGGACCGAGTCCGTCGAGGCGGCTGTACCGCGCCAGCCGTCCCTATCCAAGGCGTCAGGAGGAGGGCAATCGGACTTCTCATCTGTGCTGAGCGCTTGGCGAGGTGAGCGAACAGACTCGAGCGCAATGCTACCGGCGATGTGTGGGCTTTCAGTAAGCTGAACGCTGGCTGTCTACAATCTCTCCCCGCGCTTCCGAACCAGACATTTTGCTTCCAAGCCTGACAAGTCACCTTGCAGAGCTCTCACCCAGCCTCGTGTCCACGCAGACCGAAGCTCTCATTTCTCGCAAGAAGCTTGCGGAGCAAACACGAGAATTTAGGAAATTGGAAGACGAGGCCAAGATTGAGGCTTTCAAGCCTTTGCTCAAAGCTTACCAGGCCGAGATCGACGCGCTCACCAATCGAGCTAGGAAAGCCGAAAACGCCTTCTTGTCCGTGGCTGATAGGCTCAAAGGCGCGCCTGATCCTCATCCCTGGCTCGAACTGATTCTAGTAAGTGTCGAGAAGGGCTGATTGAGCCTCATGCATGCGCATTGCTGTCGACCGTCAGAGCTCAGCCGGTTTACACCAATTCTGCAGGAGCAAACGGCGTCTCTGCAAGACTTGCAGACCCTCAAGTCTCAAGTCGAGACACTCACAGCCGAAAACGAGCAATTGAGAAGCAAAGCATCCGTAGTATCGTCTCTCGAAGCGGACCGAGCGCGCTTGTCAGAGAGGCTCGCAGAGGTGGAGAAGACGTCAAAGACGCGCGCAGCAGAGCAGTCCGCAGCGATCCAGGCAAACCTATCTGCGCGGTGGGAAGAGCGGGTATCGAACCTGACGACTCGAGAAAGCGATCTGTCTAGAGCGCTGGAAGTGGCACAAAGTCAACTCAAGGAGCTTCGAGCTGCTCACGCGGAAGCGACTGAGCGTCGCGTAGATGCATCGGACAAGTCTTCCAAGGTAGAGGAGTTGGAGATTGCCATGGCGCAGGAGGATGCGCGGAGAGCCAACGAGAGATCGGTAGAGCTAGAGAGGCGCAACGATCGCTTGAGGGAAGAACTCGAAGCTTTGCGGCTGTCTAGAGGCGATGAAGAGCGTCGAGCAGATTGGGAAAGCAGGCTTCAAAGCATCCGTGACGAGGCAGCGAGGCTCGAAGCTGCACTTGAAAATGAGACCAAGAGAGCCGAGCGCTTGGTGGAGGAAGAGAGGCGCAAATCGGAGGAGAAATCAAAGGCGTTCGCTGAGAAGGTTAAGGAGGTTGATGGACTTCGCAAGAAGCTGGATTCGATGGCCGATTATGAAGAGATCAAAAGAGAGCTGGACATTGTCAAGTACGTCGAATTTGCCAGCGACGAGGCAGAAGATGCAAACGATGAGGATCACGCAAATCCATACGAGATCGAGACTACCAATGCAGAGCCTGCTGCTGCAGAACCTCTGCGTGCACCAGGGGCTAAGCCGCTTGAAGCGCTACTTCTCGCCAAGAATCGCAAAATGTCCGACCAGATCACTACTCTCCGAGTGCAGCAAACAAAGTATGAGACCATATCTGTAGAGCTGGACAGCTCTCGCAGCGAATTGGAGAGATTGAAGGCGCTGAATCGAAGATTAGAGGATGACTTGGTCAACGTCAACATGAGTCGAACTAGCAACACGGCGCAGAAACCGGTCACAGCGAACGGCGAAGGGTCAACATCGACAGTGCAGGACAAGACGATTCCTTTCGATGCGAGCAGCAGTGCTTCTGCACAATCTAGCGCCAGTCTTCTGCCCATCATCACCAGCCAGAGAGATCGTTTCAGAGCAAGAAACGCGGAGCTCGAAGAAGTGAGTTGGTCCCGAGTGTCCCAGGCACCTGTACAAGACTGGCAAAGCTGAGCTTTAGATCGCGTTTGTAGGAATTGCGGCGCACGTTCGAGTCGCTGAGCGAAGTGCGCAACGAGGTCAAGCAGCTTCAAGCCGATAATTTGGGTCTTTATGAAAAGGTCAGGTACTTGCAAGCCTACTCTTCGACGACGACGGGTCAGAGCTCTCACGTCACACCCGCTGTGGCGAGCTTGCAGCGGAGGGAGGAACCGGCCGACAAGTATAAAGCAAGGTACGAAGCCAACGTAGCCAATCCTTTTCAAGCCTTTAGGGGAAGAGTGAGTGTCGCCCGATTCTTGTGCCCTTTGCTGTGGGCGGCGCCTTGAACTGATCGCGTCTCATACCTTTGCAGGAGGGTCTGCGAGTGCTCAATCCGTTCGAGAAAATCTTGCATCAGCTGCTCAGCACCCGGCGCACCCGATTGCTGTTCATGGTCTATTGTGCCCTCCTTCATCTTCTCATCTTCTCCATCTTAGTATTTGAGTAATGACACGACGCGTCACATGAGCGCAATGACCTCTTAGGATGAATCACGCAGCTTGAAGCCGCAATTGCGAATTGATGGGTGGTATCAAAGTCATGTTAGAAGGCGGGAATACAGGTAAAAGGAGCTACTTAGAGGCGAGAGCGCAAGGTGGAAGCAGAAGACCAGCGTTCCTTCGATTCAGAGCAGTTCGCCGTCGCCTTCCTCTGCCTCGCTGCCGCTCCAGTCTAGATCTGCATCGAGCGCTTCGGTCTCCTGCTTGAGCTTATCCAAGCCCGTGATTTTCTCCAGGTAGACTTCGTCGTTGAATGCCTTTAGTAACATGTCAAATCCGTCCTTGCGATACGCTTCCACAATGGCTGGACTACAAGCGGTGCAGCGCTCGTAAGCCTGACCCACTATCAAGAGGTTGCTGAATTGAGCCAAAAATCCCCGAATCTGATGCGGGATGAGACCAAGCACCGAGCCGGATTTGGAAGGGTCTGAGGAATCTCCTTCCCTTGTTGACGCATCTTTCCGCGCAGCAGTGGAGGCAGGCGCCAAGATGCTAGTGTGTTGCAATTGGGTCGAATGAGTCGCGATGACTTATAGAGACACAGTCGCACCGAGCCACCACTCACCCGTCCTTGTGCTGCAAGACAGAGACCATAAGCTCTACAGCAGAAGCGCCCGCAATGGCAGCGAGGCCAGGTCGTGTGACCGTGCACATTTGATCCAGGGTCCGGTCCGTCAAAGACTGTTTCAAGCGGGGCATCAGCCATGAATTGCGCCATTCTCAGCGTAGCACATTCAGCTGGGACCGCTGACGTGGAAGGAGATCGGCACGCTTGTCTCACTCACATCTGCCGGTGCTACAATATCGTTGCAGTAGTAGCAGCCTAGCCTTCGCCTAGTAAGAGGTATCTCCTGGCCTCGCGCAGGAGTAGTGGTTGGTTGCACATCTGGCGATGCGCCGTGCCTCATTACGAGGTAGCTATCAAAGCCAAGGGCTGCATTCAAAAGGAGCTGAAGGCAAGTGTGCAGGGTTAGCAGAGTGACGTCCTCAGAGAACGAAGACCTACAGGGTAACCCACTTTGTTCTTGGCAGCTCCAAGTAGTGTGGGCAGCCACCTGCTCTCCCTTGAGTCCATGAGCAAGTATACCACGTCGTGCTCATCGATTAGCTGTTCTAGATGCCTGACATCTGCTCGAGTCTGCTCTAGGGAAGAAGCAGGCACAGGATGTCCAGGCATGGGGATGCTCATTTGGATCCCCCTCGCCTCGACACCGGGGTAAATTTTGCTGAGTTTGGCTGCTGCACATTCTGCCTTCGGTTTGCCCCCATCGAGACAATCTTCGAAATCGAACAAGGGCTGTCGGACAGGATTGGAGAATGAGACGCGAGAGGAGTCAAGGAGCGTGATGTGCCGTACTCCCCAACCCTGAGATGCCAAGCCGAATGGTCTGCGTTAGCGAGACGCCGTGCACAGCGGACTGCACCATCAGACGGCGCACCATCAATGCCCGCGCTACGTAGCAGCCTAAAGTACCGGCACCAAGCAGCAAGCACTTGGTGTTCTGGATCTTTTCGAGATTGATGTCGGGCATGATTCGCCAGCGCATCAATTTCAAGTTGAGATCCACGGCTTGATCTGCTAGCCTGCGGTCCATTGAGCGTTCCACAGATTGGCCATAAGCTCTCAATCGTCAACACCACCAAGCCAGAACGGTGCTGCTCACCTCTTTGGATCCATCAATGGGCTGAGATCGGCCATCTTGGGAGCGAGTTTGCCTTGAGAATTGCGTTCCCAGCCGACTGCGTTGGGTCGAGCTGGCTGCCCCGCTTCAGAAGCGAGCAAAACAGTCCCTGCGCAGATCTCTGATGAAACTTAGCCCGAGATGGTCGCATTGGTGCCTGCAATATCTTTCTGACTCACGTCCTTTGGCAACTACTTGGTTTGAGGCATCACTGTCTACCTCCGGCTGCATCAAGGCGGCTACTCTACTCCTGTAAGTTGTCGCGCCTGATGTCTGCGAACCCAACGGGTCTTTCCATGCCACCACTCGAATCTTTCTGACACCATAGCGCACCGAGAGCAGAGCCAAGAGGTTCCTGAGCGGCCAGCCTGGTGAGTCCGAAAGAGGCGAGGGGTCTACGAACCCGACTATGCGCTAGCAATCGGGACCGACGCGATTCAATCAGCGCCACTTGTCAACCGCATACATCATGTCACCGACAAAATGATGCGGCCTCTCACCTCATCTTCAGGCACATTTGCAAAGAACGGCTCGTACGACGTCAGATCCGAGAGTTGCCATTCCTCGGCTCCTGTTCTTCGCGCCAGGAAAAATGCAGCTGATGCGGAGTCCGATCCTTGCGAAGCTCTTCTCTGCGCGAGCGCTGCACCAATGGCGGGCATCTGTCGAGCAAAGGAGAGCAGGAAGCGCGTCATCTTTTTAATGAGCGCTGGCCGCTGTCTCGCCAGCTCCAGCACTCGTCTTGCCCACCCACCTGATCTCTACCAACAACTTCGTCTGCGGCCTTCCATCCTTTTTCCTGAGCATCAGCTCCAGCAAGCTCCCAGCCCGGCTTGGCCACAAGCGCAGGAAAACCAAACCAGTGCACGAATTTGTACTTTTTCAGGTCGGCAAAGGACAAGACGAGAAAGCGAGTGAGAAAAGGCGTGGGGTCTTGCGCGGTGAGGATGCCGTCTAAAATCTACGAGTGGATCGTGTTCGGAAGAGGTTAGCTACACGTCGCGCTCCGGACGGCGTCAAGCAAGCTCACTTCTTGAGCCACATCATTAAAGACTTTTTGCTTGTCTGCTGTTTTGAACTCTTCGATCGTGTTGAAGTTCTTGAGTGTTCCCCAAGCTGGGAAAGCGTTGGGTGGGAGCGTGTACCTTTGGTGCGAGAGGACAGGACATGCACGCTCTCAGAATGGGAGTGTGGCGCTCTCGCGAATGAGACTGAACACACTCGCAAGCCAACTCACCCTCCCTCGACCAAACCTTGACCATCGAAGTTCACAGCAGCAGGCAGGGGCACATCCTCGTCCGTCTTTCTGTCGTAAATGACCTTTCCGATCTCATAATGACCTCTCACCGGCACATTCTCATCCGACAATTGCAGCTTGTCAATCTTGATCGCTGCTAGTGTTGACCAAAAGGAAGGAGACACGCTGGTGGAAAGGGGACTGAACTGAGCGACGGTGGAGGAAGACATGGTCTGAAAGCAAACCTGCGGAAGATGGCCGAGCTGACGTAGTTGGGCCTATGGAGATGCGGGTGGGCTTAAAGTGACCGACTCCTTTGCTGCAGGATACCGGAGGAGTCGATCCGGTGCAGGAGGGGCGTCGCGGTGGTGCGGGCTTCGACTTCAATGCGTGCTGGGGCAGGACGGAGCCTGATCAAAGCCGATTCAATGTATGATAGACGTGAATGTGAATGACATCGTCGCGAGTGTCACTTGACACTCGTAACCCGCATCCATCTGTTGGTCCGCGTGGCCCGCCGCCAATGGAACTGCGCCCACAACGCGCAGTTCACTCATCACATTCACGATTGGGCCTGCAGCAAGCACAGCGCACGGACCTCTCTACTCCAACGTGCGGGGCATGCAGGCTTGTCGTCGCTCGTCACAGCTGATCCGAGCTCCATACTGTATCAACACGTCCGAAGCAACAACACACGTGCGCGCGCTGATTCACTGAGAAGGTCGATCTGGTCGACCACACTACTACGGTGACGCGATTACAAGCGAGATGGTGATAAGTTCGCTTACTATTACAGCATCACTGAGCTAAACGATTGCAAGCTTCTGGCAAGCAATTCGGCCACGAGAGTCCCACAAGCGACTTCGCCTAGTCGACGTCCATAAGGTCCGGCTTGCCCGAGCGTCTACTTCTAAGTGTGCTGGGCCTGCGCGTAGATCCGCTTCCGCGAGACTTGGCCCCCTTCGACCCGGCCAAGCCCTTACCCGAGGCTCTTGACGATCTCGTGCCTGCAGGGTCGCTCGAATTTAGTGGTTCGTCAGGTGGCGAGTCATCCTCTTCCAAATCTCGCAGCTCTTCCCACGCTTCCTCTTCCACCTCCGCTTCACTGTCTCCATCCTGCTCACGGTCTGCGCCGGTCACTGGTTGGTGCAAGGGCGAAAGGGGTCTTTCCGAACCTTCTCGATCGCCCAACGCTCTCTCGGGGGTCAAGAAGTCCGTAGAGAATCCTGCAACGCTATGCGGTCTCTGATGTCCCCTTTCGCCCTGCGCCCTCGAGTTGGGTGACGGGGATGCCCCACTCATACTCTGGATGCTGGCTGTGGAATCGAAGCGCGCTCGGCCCCAGGGAGATGAGATGGGTGCGGTGGAAGGCCTTCGAGAGTTGAACGTGCCGCACTTTGGGCAAATGTATTCTAAAGGGGAGACGCAGAGAGGCTCAATGTCAGCTGTTGATACTCCCCCTTGCATCAAAAACCCACAACGAATCTCTTTGCCGCCCCCCCTTATCGCTGTTGTGCAAAAGTCATCGGGCCTTGTCACATCAAGACGTGTCGTGCCGTACCGAACGTCATATCAACCTCGTACTTTCACTGTTGGACTCACGTATCTCCTCGATCTCGCTCGGCAAGCATAGCCCATTATGGTTGAGACATTCCTTGCATATGAGGGCGTACTTCTGCTCGTCTCTCAAGGTGCCTTCTCCATTCTCACTGCCCAAGATAAGGTCTGCTACGCGATCCAGCCAAGTGCGAGGTGGTACGGCCTGCGCAGCCAATGGTACAGCTGATCCCTGAGCTGGCGTTTTGGCTGTGCCAGCTTGATCATGAGGCGGCGCGTGTGCAGAGCCGGTGCCAGGCACTGCCGGCACGGGTGGTGTAGATGCGTTGGAAAATGGAGCTCGACTGGCGTTGCCTGGTGCAGTAGTCGGCCTGGATCGCGGACTACTTCCCGGCGCTGCTAGACCACCACCAGGGCCCTTCGCTGGCGAGTCTCCGATTTTGGCACTCGATGCAGCCTGACGAGCTCGAGAAGGTGGCTGAATGTCGTCGTATTTGTCCAGCAGCATTCGCATATAATCGAACCTGGAAGCACGTTTGATCTCGTCGATTTTTGTCCTACGCGCTCGCTGCAGCGATCGCAGATGTTTCTCTGTGCGGAGGCAGAGCGCAAGCAGAGTTAAGCGGGATGGCATGCGAGCGTCTCACGGCAGGAAGTTGGCCCGCACGCTCACCTTCGCCCTCAGAGATGCGATTGTACCACCATCGGACGATGCGCCGAGTGTAAATGATGCTGAGAATGTCATTGCTTGGAGCATCAGTGCACTGCATGGTGAAGAAGAATTTGACTCGCTGCGTTACTCACAGGAAAGGAGTGAGCACAACAGGTAGATAGGCGGCAACGACGACACCTCTCGGGTGTGAGGTGATGAGCGGGCGCAGGTACCAGCAACAAGCGACATAAGCAGCGTAGAGGAAGAAGGCGTTGAAGGTCAAGGTCACGCTCGCTCTCCTCTCTCGCGTCTTGACCTGCGTCAATCGAGTTTGCACCTCCGTAATGTCGGATGTCAAGCGAGAAAGCACAGTCTCGTAGTCCGTATCCGTCTGCTTCCACCATGGCTTGAAGTAGGACAAAAAGGCAAAGATCGCCATCGTGTGGCGGAGCCTATGCCCTGAGTGTTTTCGACAGCCGTCTAGACAATTGCGGGGTGCGATGGGACGAGACCGATGTTGGGGTAAGGACTGTTGGGCTTCGTGATGGAGCCTGGTGGCTATGTTGGCTTGATACCCTCTGATTGCAGCTGGCCGGCTGCATGCGCGTTGCCATTCGTGAGCTCGCGAGCTGTGATGGGTGATGTGGTGGGGCGGACAAGACTTTTCTGGGCGCCATGCGAGAAATCCCATTTGAGGCGAGAAGACGATGCGATGCAGCAGCAGCACACACTTGCAGCTCTCGATCGATCCGAACGATCGTCGCCGCCGCTTGCGTGCGCGTACGTACTACTACTACTGACTGTATCGAGGGGCGCGGTCCGTACACAGCAGACACGCGCGGCGAGCCTGCACGTGACTCTTGACTTTGACTTTCACGATGGTGACTTCTCCTAAGTCACAAGTGTGGGTCATCACGACGCGCGGTGATTTCATGCTTGCGGCTCATCTTTATCATTCGCCGGGGGTGGGGGGGACATGCTGAAGCAGTTGGCAATCAGCCCATACTTTGGTCTCTTCTTCCTCGCCTTCACCGACTCATTGCGCGCTGTCAGGTCAAGACGTCACTTTGAGAGGGAGCTGGAGGCAGGATCACGTGACCACGACCACCAGACGGGTTTTGCTCACGGATGTATGATAGATGTCGCCGGTGCAAGCGTTTCCTTGCGTGGGCCATGAATCGATGAATCTGAAGGCGTTTCAAGAAAGCCCGGTGATGAGAATATTCCTGTTGCGCTCGCCACGATCTCCAACATCTTTCTATCCGTGAGCAGGATCGTGTTCCACTTTACAGTGCAAGCATGCTCGGACCCCGTGCGATCGCTGTTGCGCGGACCGCCGGCGGGCTCAGACAAGCGTCTTCATCTGTAGTCAACGCCGCATCCAAGCCGATTCTCAGGCAAGGAGCATCCCTGCCGTTTCGGGGGCGCGACGCCACATCGGCTCTGCGCAGTCTTTCGAGTACGCCGCTTTCCTCTGCTTCGGTCTCTGCTCCCTCACTCTCAGAAGTGTTGGATGCTTCGCCCCTTGCGTCCAATTCGAGCGGGACCACGCCTGCTCAGAGAGCTAGAGAGGCGAATTTGAGCCCGCAAGAGAGACGCACTTTGTTGGAACAGAAGAAGGAGAGGAAGCTCAAAGAGTATGAGAGTAGGCTCAAGGTCAAAGCGATGGAGTGAGTAGGGACACTTGTCTGTCAGCCTGCATCCTGAGGCGGGCTCGCGACGTCGAGAGCTCGAGTTGCGCGCCTACAGCTGTACATGGAGCTCATTCTGCATCGCGAACCTTTGTCGACGAGCGCTCCAGACAGGGGTTATCGCTGGACGAACTCACCGCACAAGCCAGACAAAAGTCAGAGGCCGCGGCAAGAGCACGGGTCGATGCCGCTAAAGCTGCTGCTGATACCTTCGCGGCATCTCAGCAAGGGCAGGAGAGCGAATTCACATCTAGCAATGGCAACGAGTCTTTGGAGCAGAGAGATGCTCGATTGGCGGCAGAGATCAGAGCTCGAGCAGAGGCTGAAGCGAAGCGGAAATTGGAGAGTGGAGATGTTAGCAGCGGACCTGGAGGCAGCGGTGTCAAGGTGGGTTGAGCAGCGACACTGATGTCGGCGGCCGAGTCGATGCGACGCTGGATTCTAACCCGCGAAAGCCGGTTCATGGCCTACCACATTGCAGCCACTCTCGTCCATCATCGCACTGGAGAAGCTGGTAGAAGCAGACCCTGGCAAGATCGGAGAGCTGTGGACGAGCTATCACACGCTCAAGAATAAGCTCTCAGCAGTCGTACCTTCGCACATGTACTCTGCCATGGTGGAGCGGGGACAGAAGTACAAGCAGTTCGTCCTTCCGCTCCCTCGCAAGATCAGCGTTTCACCGGAGACGGATGGCGTGCAAGGAGAGTCAGAAAAGCAGGGTTACGAAATGTACCTGTGCGAGTGGGCGACCTTGCCTCCTCCACCCAAGCCCCCCGTGGCACAAGGGGCAGCACCAGAAGCTGCAGCTGCTCCTCTGCGTCCAGCTACGGTGCTTTTCACACCACTGGCCGAGTATCAGCTGCGCCAGGAATACGCACAGCCAGTGCTAGTGATCACCTACTACACTGATCTTTCCTCTTCGAAGGGGGTAGTCCTCATGCGCGGCGAAGTGACAGAAGCGTCCAACGCCGAAGCAGCTCCTACAGGCTTCCAGGCCGCAGCAGCGGCAGCGGCGCGAGGGGCGAGCGAGGCAGAGCAAGAGAAGCTGACAGCTCCATTGCAAAGCGAAGCCAAGCTGAGCCAACAAGATGCTCAGCTGCTCATCATGAGCTTGCAGAGGTTCTACCTGCCTGCTGTAGCCAATGCAAGCGGTGCACAGGAACGTGAAGAGCTGCTGCAGACTTTCCACAGAGAACCGGAGAAGTTTGACGTTGATCGATTGTGCAAGCTGGCCTTTGCCCTCGTGTAGATAGGCCCTCCTCTGACAGTGCGTCACTCATCCATTAGCATACAATAGCATCTAGATGAGCGGATTCAACTTGCGCGCCGATCTTGTCATCATTCTCATCTCCCTTCCATGACATTGACTTTGTCGTGGTCTAGTCGTATACTGCATCAGCGAGCGAGGAGAGAATTCGTAGTCAGCTCGCGTACATGCACTGGAAGGAGCATACCCAGACATGTTGGGTCCTGGCAGCGCTTGCGCTGTTGATGGCGTCGAGCCTACTCCAGCGAGACACTTCCCGTCATCGACTCACCATGCACCAAAGCGCTCCACAACGTCCACCAGAGCACAAAGCTGAAGCCAAACTCCTGCGCTCCTTCGAAAAGCCAACCGACCCAAGCTAGCGCTAGCGTTCCGGCGCTGGATCCACCTGCCCTTCCGGTCGGTGCGTTAGTTTTGAGTGCAAATGAGTGCAGATGCGCTTGAGGTCGAGAAGGATTGGCTAGCAGAAGGACGAGGAGGATGTTGGTGAGGACCAAGGCAGAGAGGTAGACCAACAATCCTGCCCAGGTTCGCAAGCCCAGCACGCCAGCTGCCGAGCCAGCAACGGAGAGCAAAATGGAGCGCACACTGGAAATTTGAGGAGCGGTAAAGCTCTCCGTAAGACGATGGCTAGCGCAATGCATGTAGCGACGAAGCGACGAAGCGACTCACTAATAGAGCTGGGAAGTGTTGTGCTGCAATGCCTCGGGATTCAACCTGGCCGCGGCCAGCTGTGCTTGTGTGGGCGTCGCATCCATGCTGAAGGCTCACAGTGCGCTCTCTTCTGAGACGAAGATGCGATCGTGCTTCTATGATGTCCCTGCACGCGTAGACCCGATTGTAAGATTGATGTGGTTCATGATTCCACGCGGGTCTGGTGAACGCTTCGTCAAATCGATCAATCACGAATCGCGCGGGGCGTACAAGAACGATCGAGTCGAAGACGTGAGCGTTGTTGACCTAGCTTGCCGCGGCACGCTTGGTGCGTGCACGATGCCTTGGGGGCACGTGATCGATCACTCCGCCCCTCACTTTCGTGCCTTGTCCAACAAACCCCACAACAAGGCAGGCCGCGACCACACACCGTAAATATCTACGCAAGCATGGCTCTGTGACAGAGCACCACCACTAGCAGTCAAGTACCAGCAGCCGTGCGACCTCAGATGCCCTGGAGTATATCCGCTGACTCTCCTAATAGTCGATCCCCACCTTTCCTTTCTCGCACGTGGGCCTGAACGCTTGCGCCAATTCCAGACGCTTTGTGGAGTCCTTGAGGAGTTGCGTGGCCTAGCTTTCGGCTACAATAGTCGCTTGCACCGCCCATCTAGCCTCACATCGCGAGTGTGGGGTGGGGAGCTTGCATCCCTTCAGACACCATGTCGGGGCCAGCTCTGGGTTTGCCGCGAGGACCTGACAAGCCATCCAAGGCTGTCAAAGGCGGCACGGCGCCTGATCAAACAGCCAGCACGACCAGCTCGAGCGCCTCTTCGGTGCACGTCTCCATCGAAGGAAAACCTGCAACTTTGAGCTTTGACGACGACCTCTTTTGGCTTGCGCGGGGAGGAAGCAGCGCGCCCGCTGTGAATGGTGCGGACCGCGCGTTAGGTCAGTGGTCCGGCCCTGCTTGGCAGCGATTCCCCTCCTGATCAAACCACGCACCCTTCCCCCTACTCGTCTCCGGCGCGGACGACGTAGATCCAAGGCACGCATATATTTGCGTCCCAAACGCTCTGGTGTTGTACTCTTCATTTGTGCCGGACTCGGATGGCGGCTCCTTGCTTGTGCGGCTGCTCGCACCCCCCGCCAATCAATCCAACCCGTTGGGGCCCTTTGGATTCAAAGCGCCACCATCGAAGGCTTCTCAGGTAGCCTCGCTACAAACAGCATTGTCAAAGAAGAATCAAGCCTCTTCGGCGTCGGCTGATGGAGAGGCGGCTAAGAACAAATTGATTGCGCTTCAGGAGCAGATACAAGGACCATGTGCCAACGTTAGATTGGTCAAGATCGAGGCTCGCCTGGTGGCCAAAGCGACGGGTGTGCACGCTCTGGAAGAGGATCAGCAGGAGCGGGCAATGGAATGGGCTCAAAAGCTGATGCGGTTAGCTTATGGGCCTGAAACAGCAGCGGTCAAACCTTTTCGGCACCTCAAGGTACTGATCAACCCTGTCGGCGGGCCCGGAAAGGGAGTGCAGCTTTTCCACAGCAAAGTGCGGCCGATCCTCGAAGCCGCGGGATGCACCTTGGATATTCAAATTACCACGCACTCTGGTCATGGTCTTTCCATCGCTCAAAACATCGACATCAATGCTTACGATGCCATCGTGACGGTGAGCGGGGATGGCATGCTGCACGAGATTCTGAATGGATTGGCAAAGAGGCCAGATGGCGCAGAGGCACTCGAGAAAGTTTGTGTCGCTCCCATCCCGACTGGCAGCGGTAATGCGATCTCCGTGAACTTGCTGGGTGTTAAACAGGGCTTTAGCATGGCATTGGCCAGCTTGAACGCCATCAAAGGGAGACCACTTTCGCTCGATGTGTGCAGCATCACCCAGCCGCGCTCCGACGCGCTACCTGCTCTCGCCTCGTCTAACGATCGCAAGGCAAGAAGGAAGTCACGCGCTCTGAACGCCAGCGTGGTCTCTTCTGCGACGACGAGCCAATCGGCAGCTGTTGACGCCGCCGAAGCTTCGTCTGATCCGCCAGCGCTGGAACGGGCGCCCTCGCAAGCATACACGCATTCTTATTCCTTCCTTACCCAGGCAATCGGCTTGATGGCGGATGTGGACCTCGGTACCGAGCACATGCGCGCACTAGGAGATGCGAGGTTCATCATTGGCTACGTCGGAGGCGTGCTCGCCAATACCCCCTGCGAGGTCGATATATACGTCAAGCTCGGCGCTTCTGGAACGACGAATCGTGCCGATATGAGACGGCGTGTAGCCCGTTTTGCAGAGAGCAGTCAAAGTCTTGACTCGATGCATAATGGCGGGTTGCAGGCTGCAGGGTCTGGTGAGGAAGAGGATGCACAACCGGTCGAAAACGCAACTCTGGAATGGACATCGTCACCACAGCGGGCGAATGGCTCCGCGCAGACGTCGAACGCGGCCCAATTGCGGCACGGGAGCGTGCTGGACCCGCTGAATGGTCCATCTCAAGAGGTCTTGCCCGTGCTGGACCTCCAAGATCCTTCATGGCCTCACACGGTCCTGCCCGTCCTGCAAGGCGCGACCACTCCGACTGGCTGGGCCAAAGTGGATGCGCGCATATCCGGGCTCTATGCCGGCAAGTTGCCCTACGTGGCGAGGGATCTGATGCAATTTCCCTACGCGCTTCCCGGCGATGGCCTATTGGATCTCGCGCTTCTACTGCACGACGGCGGTCGAGCGGGCAAGTTACGAGCCATAGACGGCGCGGAGAAGGGTCAGATCATCTATGATCGTGCTCTGTCTTACTTCAAAGCGGAAGCATATCGTGTTACGCCCAGGAGGAAAGCAGGTGACAAAACTCTCAAAGGAGGTGGGCTACTGAGCATCGACGGAGAGCACACACCTTATGCTCCCTTTCAAGTGGAAGTGTCCCGCAACCTCCATTTCAAGGTGTTGAGTCTCTTTGGACGATTCGTCTGCCCATTGGTCGAGCCACCAGCCCCGCCGGCTGGTAGTTCAGCGTGACGGCAGTGGCAGCAAGAGCAGAAAGAAAAACGCGATGCGCAAAATACGGCAAGAGGCGATAGCCCATCGGCCTTCTCCAACATCACGCTTTTCTCGCAGGTGCCCATTTTGGACAATCACCCTGAAATGATTTTACCTGTGCTTCTGCTCTTGCTGCTCCCAATTTGGCTTGCCTGGTGGGCTTACAGGCCCGGCTCGTGAGCACTCTACCATCAGCTTTTTCCTTTTCCCTGCTGAGTGAGGAAACCCCACGCTTCCGCACGACGCATCTCAAGCTCTTTCCAAAGGTGACGAGATGTATTGAAGATGATGAACATTTACAATGTGTAGAAATTCCTTGTGATAATTGATGCGGGCACTTCTAAAGCTCGGACACGAGCTCTCTTCCTTCGAGTGACACCGTACCGCAACCTATGTGTTCACGGGCCGCACCGCGTCTACTATCATCGATAGTGTGCACTGGGATTTTGATATCCCATATGATCGCGCACGACGTGGACTATCGGCTCATTGTGCCTCTGCTGACTGTGTAGATAGGCTGCGTCGGCATGATCTTCGAACGCGCCAATGCTCTCTGC